CGTAAGAATAAATGAAGATAGGTGGTTACAGAGCGATGTGTAATCACACATTTGAGATTTGTTTGATATTATCCAGATGAGAAGGAAATAAAAAACGGTTAAATTTAACACTACACCGATCCTCGGGGCAACAAATGGAACATTTGAAACTTCTTCCAGTGGGTGGGGCCAATCTATACTGAAAATCTGAAAACTGTCACACAGCTGTCTCGTCAGCATTGTGACCTAAGCAAGTCAACACGTGACCAAACGGCGAGGATCCCGTGTGTGCAGGACGCGTGAATCTACACCTGCCAAACTGCAAGGCGATACAACTTCCCAGCAGCTTCGCGTGGTCGAAGAACTGAGAGGCAGAAACTCCCGAAGTAACTCTAGGTGTGAATCGCTTTCTTACAGTTCCGTAACCAGTATTTATCTATCGGTTGTACCAGACTTTGAAGAGATATGCGCAGCCATTTTAAGACCACATTTTTGAGAACATTCGTCAGTGGAGATTGGTCAATATTTTCTTTCACAACTGATGAATTTCCAGTTAGATCTGAGACGACTCCTTCTTAGAAATATAGTTGTAACGTATTGACGCTGCCGGTCAACGACATACTTACCCAGAAATATTTTGGACAAGGCATAGGACCGTTTAAATTGTTTGTGTTGAAGCACTGGGTTTGTGTATAGTGGAAAAAAGATTTTTTATGAAAACGTTTTGGAAAAACCATTGTGTTTTGGTTTATCGCTTCATGGTCAGTTTCATCGGAGGACTCAACACAGCATAATGGATAGAAAAACCAACAGATTCTCAGGTGCACCGTGTGTTTCAGTTCCCTCTATATGCAACTAGTTTTGGGAAGCGGTTTCTAGCACTTTAGGAGAGTGTTTTAATAAAAAAAATTCCATACTTAATCAATTTCATAGCTCGTTCTCATTTCTCTACATCGTCAGTGGTCCCGTATTCATATCTCACAAAGTGCTCCGAGCTTTCGCACTTCTGCATTGATTACCAGGTCACCGAAATCCTTTTTTAGTTGTGTTTAAAAAATACAAACTTGCTACGCTACGTTGATCAAAATTTGCAGGAATATGCGGATGAAAGCCAACTGGTCCCAGTAATCAAAGAAGTATTCCTTCCCTCCCTCCGTTCAAGACCTTGTACATGTATGGTCCTAGAAAACCTTACCATGCTGAATCCGTCTTGATCTCATTAACATCTATGTCATTTTTTTTAGGTTTGCAGCCATTCATCTTCGTGGGCCAGGCTTTGCTTTCCTTAAGTTCATAGCTAAATCAACCGATCACTGTCGACAAAATCAAGCGGTAGGTTGAATGAATAGCTGAAAGTGTGGCTGGCGAAGGCGTTGTGAGCTTGGTCAAATCAGAATGTATTTGATCTTTTGACTAGGTCTTTTCTAATGGGGCTGTTTTGAGTGGTACCCTGACTACCTCTAGGTGTCAATGCACCGGAAGAATGTATAAGGGTCGAGATATTGCTGATTTACTCAAACCTAAACAGGAGCAACCAACTGCCGACCGATAGATTCACCCCTTAACCACTGACCCATGTCCAACCATCTCGGCCACATTGAGTTATTGCGCTTGATTGCATCAAACAGCTGATTTCACGAAAGCACCTAGGGTAATCAGCTACGGACTGGCTGTCAATAGGTAACGTCAAAATATGAAGAATAGATATAATGAGAAAAATAGAAATTGTTCTGCACCATCTTACCGATCAACACCCGAAAGTTTATCCGAATCTATGTTTAGCACCCGTTTGCAGAAATCTTCTCTCTTTCGGTCCGTGTCTTTCTCGACAATTGTTTCCTGTTGAAACAACAAACCATCTACGTATCCATCTTTAACATACTGATCTCATAATCTCAGGCTGAAATGGTATCATGTCTAGCAATTTTCAGGTATGCTCGTGATGTGCACTTTTGTTTACAGCTTGGCCATTGGTATTTACGTTTCTCGGTTATCAGAGCAACGTGCATTTTTCCCAATGCTGTCTGGTGCAAACAATCCCATTGTTATGTGTATAAACCGGAATGCGCGTGATTTGAGCTGTTCCTTTTACTGACATTAACTTGTGATGCACGGATAACCATATCATAAACAAAGTGTACCCAATCTAAGAGCAAATTTGCTTTGATTTCAGTTCCATCGGTTATGATGTGCACATTACATTTTTTTACACATCTTGAGTCCCAACTAACTCGACCGCTGTCATACACAGCATGTGCTGGAAGCGAGATTTTATCGAATTAAAATAACTCGTCAGATGCATGACGAATTTATTTCGGTCCCAAACCAAGTCCAAGTGAGACAACACAGGAATAACTGATCAGATGCATGACGAATTTATTTCAGTCCATTCGAGAGAATGGGTAGCCCCAAACCAAGTCCAAGTGAGACAACACAGTGTGGACAATCATTCTGACGAAATCGTTTTCCTTCAATTACTTGTTCAGACGGGAAATTCTAAATCACTTGATGGTATCCTAGCCTGGCGAAGAACGGACTGTGAGACTAGTCATCTGTCTGAAGAATATTCTACAAATAAGTCTCCGTCAACCAATCGATTTGCACCAGCTTTGTAACGTGGATATTCGAAGAAGTGTGTCGTTGAGTATGGACTATATGGCAGGTGCGGACTTTGGAAGACGGTCGAGTACGAAGTGATCCGTCCCGGTTATTAAAACGCGTTATTTTTGTTGAGCATTTGGAAAATGTTATGCTTGCATCAATTGGACATCAATATTGAAGTGTTACGCTGAGGCTAAGCTGAGAATTATTCCCCGAATTTGTTGGATACGACGCAACACGCTGGATGAGTTCGCGTGAAAACCATTGATTAAGTGTTAATACATGAGATCTAGTGCGCATGATAGCCAGCTTTGGTCAGTTATTTGTATTCAGATATTTTGACCCATTCAAGTACCGTCTTCACGGCATAATGTTTTATCTCTTCACCTGCCCTGACGCTACTGGGTTATAGTCACAGGACAAGAAGACGACCTGAAGGAACTGTGTATTGACGCAATTACAAATTTCTAAGTATATGCTCCACTTGTCACCGTATTTGATGGTCGATCCGCTGTCAACCAACCAGTGTGTCTCCCACACACCCACACCGGCTCTCGAGAGGTTTTAGCTTTGTCTCAGTTGATCATAGATGGCCGTCTGTGCGCTTGTGTACGGGGTGCCTTGGCCACGGAGTGGGTGTGAACTTTCTGTCCCTTTTTGACCTTTCTACGGCACATGATAAAATTGGACAATATTCAGACGTATAGGCGTAACCACATGGCTCTGTTTCACATGCTTGTTCCGCTGCACACTAGGCTGGTGTGCAACCGTATTAGTAACCAAAGAGGACCACGAAGACCAGGATGTCTTGAGCGTTTGTGAAACGTTTTTGGACTAGAAGGATTTACGTCAAGGAGGATGTACTTCCTTTCCCCGGTCAAAATCTTCCCTTGCCTGAGCTTGCCCTTTACTGAGTTTACCTCGTAGACTCGATATGCATTTGTAATCTCTCATGTATTTTCATCCCTTGACATGTTTAACCAATTTGGTCGACCATGTTTTACGCGTTTTTTCGAACATTTTGCGTTTCCGCATGTTGTACCCAGGCGTATGCCGCCAAATACAATCGATTTGCCATCTTTTTCGGATTTGCACTACTTCCTGCAACAGTTTAGACAAAAACCCTTATATTTGATGTTTGTACCCTTTTTATTACGTATTTTATACATTTAGTATCGCATATTTTGATAAATCTCAAGAATCCAAAACTGCTAGCTTCTGATGTTGTGGGCTTTCCCAAACATCGAAGTATTCTACAGAGGAATTGCGACGTTTTATTCGCGTTTGAGTATTTCAAAATTCTTCGGAGAGCCTGATAAAAAACAAATAAGACTCACTGCATCCGCTCCACTTCAAATTAAGCAAAAATGATCTGGAAAGTGTGCGAAATCCCTGTATTTCAATCCAAAGTGCGCCGCTGAATCCAGTTCCCAATTATTCCAGCTACGTTGGAAGTATTCTGTCGGAAAGTCACTGTTTACTAAGCCCCGCCTAGGACTGCGATACATTCCTGAACTGCACCGCTTTGCAACCATCATTTATTTGAAATCCTTATTGTGAGGAAAAACAGTAAAATACATGGACAGGTGACCTAATAACAGCCTATAAATCATTGCAAGCTACCTGAACCTCTCTCAGCAATGTTATCAACCTGGACTTACTGAGGACTCAGGAACTATCTCCATACCAGCTCACTAGTTTACAAAACTTTGATTCAGGGTTCCTGACACGACCATATACAGCATCGGCGGTGGACAAGTAATTCAAAAATGGAAAAATAAAATACAAAAAAATAGACACAAGGTAGGAACCTGTGAATACTCTGGCACACTGAAGTCAGTCTGGCATTGGAACGCTCCGCGTCAATTCTGCTTAATCAGCTGAAAAACCTTGAACCGACCAGAATCTATCATGTAAGGTGCACCTGTTTTAGAGAAAACAGTCATGCTGCATAATGGTAGATCACTTCATTTGGATTACGAATCTATTAAGCTAGAGTGATAACCGATTCCAGGATTCATCACTGACCTTGACAGACGAGTTACAGTTTACAATCTGTTTAAAGGGTGCATTCGGGCTCTTCAGATGTAGTAAAGGTAATTAAGTCTTTAGTTAATGGTGAACCGCTTTGATCGTGCTTAGGAACAAGTTGTTTCGGGTCAAAGATAATTGTGCAGTTAAAGAACAAATTATCATAGATGAAACAGTGTTAGTTTGATCCCTTTTGTTAAGCAACGTGGAACCTACCAAAGGAAACAGGTTTACGGTCCGTTTCCTAATCCACTCACTCAGCTTACGAAAGCTTTTCTGGAAGAACAGAACTACAGTCCTCGGTGACTGATCATCATGCGGTCAGAACAACACAATAAATACCAGATTTGGCCCCTTCTTTCTCTTGATTCGATGGCTTGTATTTCCAGAACGAATATTCATCCGCGGTATCCAGCTCCGAATCAACCCTCTAAGAACGACAGACGGAAGAGTTCGGCATGGGTATGGTGACCAGACGATCATGTGTCATGGAAACCATAGCCAACCGGTGAGTCTAATGCAGTCCCGCTTGATTACTCATGACGCCACATGTGCCCGTCATAGTCTGGTTGCAAGAAACCCACGAAACCTCCCCGTTGCCTGGGATACACCATCTTGGAGGGGTTGAGAGCACCTACTTCTACGTCGTTCATCGAACCTGACCTAATCGCTGTTCGAGATCGCCGAGGAACTGTAACAGATGTCAGCATAGTCTCGGATGGGTGTGGAGTGACTGTGTGAAATGAGAAAATGCGGAAGCAAGGTGCTAATGAATAGTTCCTCGCCATAATCTTAGCCCTGCGTGCAATCGGTTGTGATGCCGATCCACCAACCGATGATCACTCTGTATCGAGGGATCTGCTTTCCTCAATCCGCAAAGGGTGTATGATGTACACTGTGATGGACACTGTACCTGGTTTTCCGAGTCTTGACTATTCTAGCGCTTACGGCGTCCTAAAGAGCATTCAGCATCGTTTCTCCTTTCTTTGCTTGTTGGTCTTTACACGCGCATTTCCATGTCAAACATTTCAAAATTTCGGATTCATCTTGTAGGACTGGAACACAACTGGTGTCACGCTTTCGAGTAAAACGCATCCCTCGTTTTATCTAATACCCTCCTGTAGCCATTCCACATACATCGCGGTCGCAAACATGTGAAACATTAGAATTCGGTATCTTCTGGCCACTAAGGAACCGTTTAGACGGTCTGGGGCCAACGTCTACCGGAGTGACCAGCATATGATGCCCACCATACGGAAATTAATACAACGAGAAAAAAAAGGCGTTTTCGGGTCCATTTGGGTGAAGGAACTCCAAATGACCGTGGAAGGTACTTAAAATTTCTTGGCTACGTGAACCGTTTTTGAATAAACTGAATGAAGCAATGAGATCTTTTAACAATAGCCTGAAACAAAATCCCTTCCTTTTCATTAAACGTATCCAATTTTTTTCTTCATAGTCACACCACTCTCCTTTGAACGGTCGTCTTCCTGTTCTGGCTTAAGTATTCCAAAGGGAAGCACTGGACTCGAGTTTTGCTCTTATTAGAGCTCATCAGCAGTGCATATCCAACGGCCATGCCGGGATATGAAACTCGGACATCTGATTTTGTTTTACGGACACTTCAGTAGTAATCGCTTGGTGTTCTTACTTTATTTGTGTGCATCGCATTTAAGACAAATTCCTATAGATTTTGTTATGCCAATCCCTCACATGCTCAACACTAGTCTGCCTTTACAAGTATGTTGATACCGTGTTCTTCTCAAAATACAGCGAATCACCGTATATGCTTGACGTATTAAACAGAATTGTACAAACTATTTGAGGAAAAAAAGAACATAGAACATGAGCCAATGGTTTGTGAATTTCACAAAAGCCATTTTTGTGATGCTTGTTCATCGTACAATCAGATGGCAGCATGCAGATGAGATATAATGTGTCCATCAAACACAGTCTATCCAGTAAGTCACCAGTTCGGTGATCGGCCTCTGTGTACTGCAGGCCACGTTTATTGAAAATTCCTCAATAATGAATTGGCTTTTTTAATGATTGGACCCGTAAATTATACTGTCTACTTTGGAAATGGTGTTGTTTGAATTAAACTTCAGTGTGGCTACGTTTTGAGACCTGTTTTGATCGTTTTCGTGCCAAGTTTATAATCGTAACCTCTGAAGACAACCGCCATCGTGTGACTTTATTTGGAATAATTGAAACTTGATCCCAGGTTCTTGCATTCACCAACATGCCGGAACAATTGTAAAACCTTGCAAAACCTCAGGATATTGGTGACTGGTTGCGTATTCCGGTGGCCGACATGTCACTAAAGCTTACAAACTCAGAATATAAAACGACCAAAAAAGCAACACCAATGAAAAACCCGTCGTCAGGTCAAACTGATAACATATTGGCATGATCACTATGTTGAGGGATGGGTACGCAAAAGTGTGGATATCACTGTCCAATACTTTATAATATTACTCATTCTTATGTAGGGGTTAATAGGAAGAGTCATGAATAAAATGGTCTATGTGTTGCAATGAACTCATTTTAAACCTAACAAATCAAACTATCACAATGCTGCATGATATCGAGTAAGTAGGGTAAAATTAGCTCGTGGATTTTACCTCTTCATTACCTTATGCATTCCACCAAGCTGCTCGCCAGCTTACATAACACTGTGGGTTATTTACTCGTCAATCTTCTGGTTATACTACCGACCTGAGATAACCTTTCATTCTGACTTGTTCTTTGTAGATGGTAGTCTAAATAGACAGTCAAAGGCCAAACACTCGAATTCAAACTTTGAGGAAGTCAGGTCGGATTTAGATTTCATTACTTTCATCCACAAAAACCTTTGTGCCCTAGCTGATTCTAAATTACATGTCGGTTTACCTCTACTGAATGTGAACTTTTGGAACATTTCAGGTGGCCTCACGCAGCGTTCATTCTATCACGAGTCCATGTTTTCTGGTCGATACGGACAGCTTTTGAGCTACCTTCCGACTTCGCAGAGACAGAATTAGTGATCATTCTACGCTGTAACTAAACTCTACAGGATTATCCGCAGTGGGAAGAATTTTTGAGCAAGCGGCTGTCAAACAGATATCCAAATTTCCCCTAACGAAAGCGTGTCTAGTCTCACAAAGAGAGAGGAATGAACATGCACAAAACCAAGTATATACTTTTGCCTTGGTTTGTCTTGACTTAACAATACGGAACTAATCACGCACATTCGAAGTGAGACACTCGGATAGTTTGGGTAATGGAACCACATGCGCGGATGCAGAAGTAACTAGCTACTGGACTGAAAGCAGACACGTGTTGATTCCTTTCTTCTACACTAATTACGTACAACATGATTCCTCATTTGAACGTCTTTGTTATGCGCCTGTAGTCTCTCTTCTCGTTTCGACTTGAACGTAGCCGCTCTCTGACCGACCATTGCGCACCTCGTCTAGTACTGTCACATGGGCTTCGTCATTCTGTGGCCACTTATCTAGATCCGGTGTGACCGTCCGTAGGCGTAATGCCGCTGGAGTCGGCGAAAAGAAACTAGCGTATTCCACATTTAAATGTTGGTGAAACTTTATCTGAACGATCTGATTTTTGAGGCGTTGATAGAAAAACTCAACATTGCCCACCCGATTGGCGATAGCAATTAAGGAGAGTAGGACTCGGTCGTGGTTACACTAAACCAAGCCATTTCCTTTGACTTTTCAATCCAAGTGCCTGAACAAAAACTGGTGAAGGAAAGAAGGCCTTCGCTGCGGAGCTTCTCTGCTAACAGAAAAGTTATAAAATACTGGACAGGGGAGCAAAACTCTCATACGCATTTTGTTTACAAAAACTGAATATCCATCTTCTCCTCAAATTCGTCTTTTGGAACTTTCCTGGATTTTCATTGAATGTTGCTCAAATGCACGCAAATGCCACTCCACAAACGCCGTAATAGATCTCACTTTTCAAAAGACGCAAAGCGGATCTTTGAGAAAACATACTACTCGCATGCGCCCATCAATATTATCCACCGTTATACTGGTAGTACCCGCAACCCTCATTCTAATGATGTTGGAATTTAGGCAATTTCCCATGTCAATTTTTGACTGAAATTTGCGGTAATGTAGTTCGAAGCCTACGATGGGTTCAATGACCAGCCTTTGCTTAAGTTGGGCTTTCCACCGCATTTCTTCTGAGGCTGGATTCGCCTGATCAGAATAGAAAAATGCTTACATTAAACTTCTAACAGATTCGCTAGGAATCTATTTACTCCATCTGTTTGTGGATTGATTTGCTCTAGTAACTTTTCCCTAGGAGACTGAATCAGAACAAAAGGATCGTTCATTGCAGTTTGACGGCGTTGAATGCGCTCTTTGAATATTCTGCAAAAAGACAGGTCGCTTGAAATTCTATTAGCGAAGGGAAATCGGAAAGAATGGGAAAAGTAGGTGGGATGTCCCCATAAACCCGACTGATCTTGGTTAGAAGCTTTTCTAGTGACATCCGCAAGTAAACTCCCAGATTATGGCACTTCTGTATTTTGCAAAATTAACCGACTCATTGGACGAAAACGTGAAAAGATACATCCTTGGGCTTTCAATAATGACCTCATAATGTGGTATTGGCAGTTGTCCGACAGGAGAAATATATCCAGTCCACCAAGTCAAAATAGATTATTTTTTTAAAAAAATCCAGTCATGGGAGAGGCCTTTGGAAAACACATACTTTCTAGTGTTTTGGGTGCGCAACACGCACTGATGATTTCCCCCTCGGCGATGAGGAAACGTTCACGAGTCAGCTGCCAAGCTCACCAAACAGACTAACAACCACTGAACTCATCCGTGCTACACAAACAGTCAAAGCAAAATGCACCTGTAGTAATATGATAGTAATGCCCGCAATGAGGAAACGTGAGTCAGCTGCCAAGCTCACCAAACAGACTAACAACCACTGAACTCATCCGTGCTACACAAACAGTCAAAGCAAAATGCACCTGTAGTAATATGATAGTAATGCCCGCAAAATTAGGACATATTCTAGATGACTCCACCTATACGAGATAGTGTCTGGGAGCAAAATGATTCAGATCCACCTGAACTGAACCCATCTGCAACAAATACTACTGAAAACCACCCATCTGATCCTATCGAGGACCATTAACGGGTCCATTGTTTATAATTGACACTACTTGGAAAATTCAAGTAGTCACGGTTTCAACGTAATTTCAGCCAAAATGGACAAACTTGGACGACCAAATGCCCCCCCTCCCAGTGAAAAATAAAAATATCGTCGGTTTATTAGTAGGAAAAGATTCCTCGTGAGTTGCTGTAGAAAGTACATCAAAATTCGCTGTTTTCAAAGGTCTGCAGACAGTGGATTTTATGACTTAGTGGGCATTGAAATAAGTTGATGGTTCCAGCAGAATGTCCTCATATGACAAAAACTACACAAATAAAAATGCGTGCCATAGAAGCGCGTGGTTAAATGACATTTATAAACTATTTTTAACAGCTAGCGCCCGTTCTAGCTCCTTTCATTCCTTTTCCCATGAAGCATTGCAAATTGTGTAAAAATATTTTGGGATACCTTGGGTTTTATGCCCAGCATTGATCACTCAACTTCCTTCTGCAACGCCCAAATTTACACACTGGGAAGCATTACTTTTGTTAACAACTATGAAGTTGTTTGTCATTGCATCCCGGACCCGTTGTTGGACGGTCGAAAATCATACAACTTAAGGAGAATACAATGTCGGAAGCCACCATTGGACGTTGCAACAAAATCCAAATGCATATACTACCGCTGACGTTTTTGTAGACATTGGAGAGATCTGATACTTCACCCATAACCTCTGGAAAGTTCACATATTTCCTGAATAATCGCGTGATCATCAACAGCCGCGCGACACTCCACAGTGAAACAATTGTTACGAGCAACTTTTACCTGAGTTTTCCCAGAAAATATGCCAAAAAGAACCCAAACAACGCACGTTAAATTTTGCCTTCAATTCCACTTAGGAGTAAAAATGTTTGCTTAAACATAATGTGAAAATGTCCGCAGGCGAGCCGTGTCTCAAAATCGAAAATCACATAGTTTCAGAGGGATTTGGTAAACAATCGGTGGATTTATTGCTGTGCAACGTTTCGCTTTTGACACAAAAGCTTCGTCAGGCCAAATGAGTAAGTAAGTAGGTTGATTGGGTTTTAAGGCAGTCAGGGAACCAATCCGTGAGATTCCTCCTTATGACTAGTGACGGGATCAGTGCTGGGTGTTCATTCTGATGTCCCTGTTTGTTGATTAGTGGGGAGGAATAAGCTTTACGATAGATCGGTTAGGGGGGTTCGTCTCTATGATGAACCCGGATTTTTTCGTCCCTGCTTCTTCAGTCTAGGACACCCTAATGGAAAATTCCTCTTGGGGTCGTTCACAGATTTTGTTCATCTGTGTTCGTTCAAGGGTGCTGGGACAATTAGTTTGGGGGTGGGAGTGGGGTGGTCAATTGGATCTAACGCTACTTGGATTTT